TACTGTACCTTCAGTGTTTACAGACTGTATGTTGATATTTGAAAACAGTCAATTAACACACTGCAAGAGCATGCAAGGGTTTACAATGAGAAAATTTCCAACTGAAATACAATTGACTCGGTGATGGCGAATTTTTGCATCACAATAACTAAAATTGCTTAGAATATTGCTCAACAGGACGCCATGAATTGAGTGATTATTTAAAAGACAAGGCGGTACGTCCACAGACAATAAAACAACTTAAATTATAAATTCTCGGCCAGCTATTAGGGTTTCTGTTTGTCCTGTTTGCTAACTCGGCGTGAATTCCGAAGTTTAATTCGCGGAAGAATGACCTGAGATACAAATGATTCAACTGTAGTGAGTCAAAAGTGTTTATAAAATACTGACGTTTGCAGATAAGAAATCAACACGAAGTCAGAAACAACACAACGTGTTTGCCAAATGTAAGCGTAGAAATTGTCAAACAATCAAACGCGCCACGCCAAGGCCTCTTGAAGTGAAATATTTATACCAAAGATTTTAATTTCCCAGTGAGATCAGTAAAACTGCCTTGCCGCGTAATACGGAAACCGACAATTTTGATGTTTCATCATCATATTGCCGTGAACATCGTGAAATCAACAGCAATTTTAACTAGAGCAAAAGTGCAAAACATTTAAAACAACGGTGTAAAACAGAATTCGATCTTACCCAACTGATTCTTTGTCAATGATGGTCGAAAGTGCAATATCATCAATAACTGTACTACCGAAAGCACGCGTGCTACTGTAGAGTTTTAAAACCGCAACAACCAAACAGAATAGTACTACCAAGCCAAAGAATGCCGTTTTTTGCCATGAAATGCACAGAATGTAACCGGTTTTAATTCAAAACACCGTCCGATTCGTTAGGGTTTTCGGCGGTGTAAACTTTTTCAAATGAGTCAGCGTTTCGCTTTGTATCTTGATCTGAAACAGTGAGAGCACATTTGAAACTGAAACTTACCCAGCCAAAAGAACGAAAATTCAGCATATCCAACCTTTAAACTGTGGTAATCCAACGAAAGCCATTCCGTGCTCATGAAGGAAGACATTTCAAGACATTTTGCATTCGATAATATACTCTGTCTGGATTTTTCAGACCAGACACAAAGGATGTCGCTTACGTAAAGCACCTATTCAATGGTACTTGCGTGACCACGTCTCACGTGCTGTCACGCGCGGGCGTTTTTAGACGAATAATTTGATAAACATGTAATACCATTTGGTGGTTTTTTAGTTGGCAAACGTTAACAAACAGAGTTTGAGGCTGCCTTTTTAACCTGAAGAAAAAAAAAGTTATTTTTGACTGGGTGTCATCTTCAGACGGCTGTATTTTATTTAGCTTGGTTTCATTGCAAAAATATTTATCCTTAGGCCGCATCCATACTACGCCGGACGAATTTGAGAGCGGACGTTTCACTCTGAAGACGCACAGAGCGTTTTTCGTGCACACTACGCCTGTGGAATTTCAAAATGCAACAGTCAGCTGTGGTCATTTTGGATTTGTGTTTGAGGAAAACCCGGTCAGGAAAATCACATGATTTTCGTGACACCATCGTTTTCGAAAAGCTCCGTTTTGAAAATGTTCTCCGTCCACACGAAAACGGTAGACCGGCGTTTCTAAATTCCTCCGGTTTGAAGAGCGTTTTCTGGAAAGCTCTGTTTTCGTGACGGATATAGTGTGGACGGTAGACCTAACCGTAGAAATAAATCTGCGTTTTCAAATTTCTCAAGCACAGTGTGGACGTTGCCTCGAGCTTTCATACAATGACTCATTAGATATACGACGGAAAAACTACGAACACACGCGCGTTAATTTACACTGCAGTGCAAATCAGAAAATTAGCGAGTAATTGGGCAACTCACAGCCAATCACAATGAAGTAATATTCACAGTCATTTAACAATAATTGTAATAATAATAGATTTATAAGGCACTTTTTCTCCACGATTCGAAGGCGCTAATTACTTATTGTATACCCTAAAATGTAAAAAGGCTTTTATTTATGTGCCACTTAAAAACGAGTATGGAAAATGACAAGTTTTGGTGGAACTCCAGTCCGAATATGGAGAGTCAAGAGGTACACAACGGTAAAATGTTCAAGACGTACCTGTTCGGTCCTATTTGAGTTGCTTTCTACAGAGCTGTGACCTGTTTTATGAAGCAGTAACGTTATGCCGACCATTAAAGATTACATTTTGTTTCTCCACATTGTTTATCTTACATTCTTAAATGTAACGTCCTTCACAGGGCACTTACATTATAGACTCAATTTTGCCCTCTCAACTTCCTTATTTGTAATGTGTAAGCCTGTAGTCACCTATAGGAACTGACGTAAACACAAAATGTCGCTTTGAACGTTTTTTTCTTGTACTTTAGGCCACGCTTGAACGACTATGACGGTAGGTAGCTAATTGTTTGCCTAATGCTGTCCTTCCATGGTCTTCTTTTATTCTTATGTCAATAGAAGGCGGCTAGTAAACAAAGAGATAAAAGGTTATTTAGCTAGCCCAAAGTACTTAGTGATTCAATTTTTTTTGTAAAAGTAGGAGTACTTCAATACGATTTCACAGATAAGCAAAAGCAAACTAACACCAAGTTGGTCTGGTTTCGCGCATTCCTTCACTGGCACTCAACCGCTCGAGAGTACCTCGCCATTCCTGGGTTGTCAAACTTTTCTCCGTTGATCTCTCCTCAGAAAGGCGTCGTAAGTATCTCCTTGCTCTTCTTTCGTCAAGTTAACTCCTGCCTGCTGCGCTCCAAGTGAGTGATAATAGCCGGCGAATCACTCATTCAGGAAACAATTCAAACGAACTTAAAAGTGGACGAAATGAATTCCACCAGCACAAATTATGAAAACAGTGGGACTATCGACGGCATCGCCTTCTTGCAGCTCTCCGTCCTGTTTCTGACGCTCGTGTTTGGCTTCCTCGGCAATGCGCTGGTGGTTGGCGTTGTCATTTTCCATCGCCAAATGCGCACGAGGACGAACATATTTCTAACTCAGCTGGCGGTGACCGGGATAGGAGTCTGTGTGTTCTGCATACCGTTCATGATAGTCGCTCTTATCAAACAAGCCTGGGTCTTTGACGAAGCGCTGTGCAAGTTTAACGGATTTACCGTCCCCTTCTGGTTCGCCTCGTCTATTTTCACGTTAACCGCTGTAAGTATACACAAGTACTTCTCGATTGTTAAACCTTTAAGAAAGATAATAACACCAAGACGTATTTTAGTGATCATCGTAGTGGTTTGGGTCTCAGCATTCGCGTGCTCCATAGGTCCCATTCTGGGATGGACTGAGATTGTGTATAAATCATCGTCCTGTATATGCGGGCCTCGATTTCCGCGCACTGCTTTGGACATCTCGTATACCTTGTTTCTCGTGTCAGTGGTCTACACATTTCCCATCGTGGCTATGATTATCTTATATTGGAGGATTATAAAGGCGGTTCAGTCGCATTGTCAACGTATTCGTGATACAGCTATCATTGACGATCGAGGCATTTTAGCGCAGAAGAAGATAATAATCACCCTTTTGTTTGTTCTGGTGGCGTTCGTCGCCTGTTGGACGCCATTTTTCATTTACGGGATCTTGACGCTTGTGACCGACGCCAGCCGGCTTTCCCGCCACTTTTTGCGCTCCGCGTACATCTGCGGCTTCCTGTACAGTGTGTGTAATCCTATCATCTTAGGCGCGAGAAACCCGCGGTTTCGAAGAGGATTCAAAGAGCTTATCACATTCCAAAGGATCAGAAGGCCTTCGCTAAGTCCCTCGGGCGCGGGTTCGAGCAAACAAAGCGATGTCGACGGGCGTCCTTCGGCCGACTATTTAGCCGAGAAGAGGTGCTCGGTTTGGTTTCTATCGTCGAGTCAAAACTCACTGTTACGTTTGGAGCCCGAAATTCCACAAAGACGTCGAAAACTACGCTGGATTGAAACAAATCTCTGACAGGGAGAGAACAACTGATTGAAAATCAAAATGATTTGACACCAGCTAATTCAAATAACAAAGCTAATCCGGGGATTGAAAGTCTGTGAACGAGCTCATAAAAGTTTATGCCCTAGTCTAAACACCCAGATGATGTTATTAACAGTTATACTAGTTTGACTGAGGGGAAAATACGTAATTAATATTGCACTGAAAGAAAATGTTCAAAGGAGCTCAGTCACGGTATTTTAGGTAAGGTAAGGTAAAGCATTCATTTAAACACGATAAAAAAATAATGGCAATGCTGATGTGGTCGTCTTTATTGAGCCATTTTGACCACGTACAAAATTACCCCTAAATTGAAGGAGACTTGAAAATAGTTGTTTACTAAGATAGAAAAACACCACAGAGATAATAATAAACCATGAAGGAACAAGGATGATTAACGATGGAGAAGATTAACACGGATTACCATCGACGCACTGGAACAATTTGGGCTAAACTTTTCAAGATTTAAGCCATGATTACGTTACCTTAATCCTCTTCAATTCTTCAAACTTGACTTTTTATGAACCTTTTACGTTAAAAAAAAAAAAAAAACTTCAGAGCAGTTTTGATGTTTGCACTAGTTTCTGTGATCCATTTTTTTATGACAGTTTGGAGATGCACCAGGACATTGCATTGCTGGTTGATAATTTTCAGTATTCTCCTCACAAGTCTGTTTTGCGATGCAATGATATTGTAAGAAGAATTAAGATTACTACTGAAATAAGATAAACATGATTATTTGTAAGGTTTACATAGGTTTTTTCAAGTTGCTTACACAACGCACCAGGCAGCACTTTTAAGAAAACAGTCTGTAACGACATAAAGGAAGCGCGAGCTAAAAGCCCTACATGTGCTTCTATTCAAGTGTCTAAAGTAGTCAGGCAAGTAATTCGGTTTTGGTTGCACCACGGTTTGAGATTGGCTGAGTTGTCTAATTGGTAAGTAATCCGTTTGGCTTTGGTTTTTCGAAACTCAATTGGAAAACCTCTTTATTCGCTCGCGATTTCTTTGATCGAGGTGAGCGAATAATCTAATAGTTTACTGAGTAGACTTCCAACCGAAATTTGCATTTATTGCTCTTGTCATCAGTAACCCTCACGTTTCAGTCATCCTTCTGTTTCTGAATGTTCTTTCAAAACTTCGGAGAACCGATCGAGAAACTTCAAAGCGATGCCATGTTGGTGACCTTATCAAGCCACTGCACACTAATGGCTATAAAAGTGTGCGATGGTTTAGCCAATCAGATTGTAACGTTTGCATTATTTTACCAGTAGAATTGTACTAAACCTCGATAGAAACAGAACTATAGAGCACGAACTTTTGACGTAATGATGCAGAGTGCAAGCAAAAAGGAAGACATAGTGAAAAGTGTATGTAATAAACTAGTTGTTTTCTGGTCTCTTTCTCGCATTGTTTCCTAAAATATTCAAAACCTTTTCAATGAATTTCAATCTTAACCTTCATGAAAGTTTGCGGGAACCCTAAAAAAGCTGTGGACCACACTTGCCTGCGGCTCGCGTTCCCACGGTATTTCTTGCTCTCTTCAACTTCCGCTCACACATCCATAACTCGATAAAACACAGAGAAAATCTTCTAATTTTCTTAAATGTAATCCGAACCAATCATACAAAACACTTCTAAGCATAGCACACTTATGACGACGTATTCCGGCTGTCGCTTGTCTCCGCCGAAAAAAACTAACGTCTGCGAACCTGCGCCAGTAAACGATTTCTGTGACGTAGGAATTCTAAGCCAATCTCAGCTTAGCTCAATTAGCCCCAGAACTACTGCGCGGGGTATTCGCTGCGAGGAGCACTCGAGTTTCATTCTATCACGGAATCTGATTGGCCGAAGAGAAAACAAAAGTCATTACGTCACAGAAATCGTTTCCTGGCTCGGGTTCACAGACGTTATTTTTCGGCGGAGACAAGCGACAGCTGGAAATACGTCTGTGTTCGCAGGCTAAGGTTTGTGCTTACTTCACCAGTGTGAACCAACTTGAGATGAGCACAAACACTAGGAAACGGACCTTTCCTTTCTTGTTGTTTTTTTTTTTTGCTTGTTCTTATTTCCCTATTTTGAATTGAACTTTCGTTAGTTAATGATCCTCCTCATCCGCTATATATCTTTAATTAAGTTATCGTGACCAGATCTTCTCCGGCGCTACTGCAGATAAATATGCATAAAGTACTGGTGCTTATAATGTTATAACGGTGGGGTCAATCAGGCCTAATATTTTTATAAGAAGACATTTCGAACTGCATTTAATTGCAAAAAGAAGCGAAATTGTTATACCTCCCAACTCAAATCCTTTTTCCGACTGGAGGAAAACGTGTCACGTATAGTTGGTCAAAACTCACTAAATCCCTAGGGAAACAACAACATGAACTTTCGAGTCGCATGTGATCAGGTCGTGCTCCTTGAAACTAAGGCAAATTTGTGAGCCAGCCTGCGTAAAGCAAACCATTTCTTCGCAGTTTTTTTTTTTCC